TGGCGACCCCCAGGGGGAGGGCCTTCTCGGTGGGAGCCCCCACCCTCTGGAACGAACTACCCCCAGAGATCCGGGTGATCCCGGATCTCCCCTCCTTCCGCCGCGCCCTAAAGACATGGCTTTTTCAACAAGCGGGTCTGGCCTAGGGATTTTTAGCGGGGTTTTTTAAGGGTATTTTAAGGATAATTTTAATGATCGGACTTCTTAAATATTTCCTTTTAATTCGGTTTTTAATAAGATATCATTGTATTTGTATTGTGGTTTTTATGAGGCTGTTAGCCGCCCTGAGTCCCATGAGGAGAAGGGCGGGGTACAAATTAAATTAATAAATAAATAAATTAATAATAAATAAAAAAAACAAAAAAGGTTCAATCAATCAGTCAATTTCAACTTCTTACAGGGAAAAAAAAGATCTTGCAAAGTTGGAATTGATTGATTGAACTTTTTAGTCCCACCCAGTCTGCCGTTACCACCGCAGCCACGCCCAGCCAATGGGCCACACCCAGCCAATAGGCCACACCCACCCGACACTCGATGATGCATAAGTGGGTTTTGGGTTGCAGTTTGGGCACTCGGTCTCTAAAAGGTTCACCATCACTGATATAGGGTTTCCTGTTGAGCAGAGGATTGGACTAGAAGACCTCCAAGGTCCCTTCTGGTATTCTGCTATGAGAACGATCAAAACATGCCGCATTTCAGCGGATACACTGAGGAGTCGTACATTGTGTTGTTAGGGTTCTTTTCCCTCAGACAATGAGATCATTTTAAGTTTAGAGTCATCCTTATTTGCAGTTTGGGACTGGGTGTTTCACACATGAATTACGACTCAAGCTATTTCAGCAGATTAATATTATTTTTCCAACTAACGTGGCACTAGGGAGACTGCGTATCTGAATGGTGGAGATGAATTTTGTGCTGGAGTCCAAACTTTCTGATTCCCCCCCCCCCCATAACATGAGACACTTGTAATTGTAAATTGTGTTAGTGATGGAATAAAGCAAAATAAGAGCCACTCCCAAGCATAGATATGTCCTGGCGACTTTTTTTCCCCTGCTGTATCCTCATGATACAGGATACATCTTGTTCCAACTCTTGCTGGTATTGTGTTATCTCCTTTAAACAGCCAACAATCTGTTGCAATTTTCCCATGGGTAAAATCTGACTCATCTGCTACAGGTAGTTCTCAGCTTACAATGGCCTCAGTAAGGGTTTTGAATGCCCCGTAAAATACTTCTGACTGTCGTAAAACTTTTGACAGTTTTCTGCAAAAAAACACCCATTCGGGAGAGTGAATTCACTTAATGATCACAGGATTCGCTTAACGACTGCTGTAAAAATATTAAAAAAAAATCATGTGGGCATCTCAACTTATGACCATAACAACTTATGACCGCAATTCTGGTTCCAGTTGTGATTGTAAGTTGAGGCCTGCTTGTATTATATTGCAAGTAGGTGACTCTTCTTAGGGGATGGACTCTGAGCCTCGTTCTGTCCACTTATCTGGTGAAGATTCCTGTGGACCAGGGGTAGTCAACCTTGGCTCTTTTATGACTCGTGGACTTCAACTCCCAGAATTCCTGAGCCAGCTAAGCTGGCTCAGGAATTCTGGGAGTTGAAGTCCACGAGTCATAAAAGAGCCAAGGTTGACTACCCCTGCTGTGGACTATTCTTTAAAAAAGGGGTCTTGCTCTTTACCCATCAAATTTATCAGCTGATCCCCAAATTGGAGACTTGAATCAGTCTAAACGTTGGCTGACCGCTTGGCGAGAGGGGAAATAGATGATTTGTCAATTCTTCTGGTGTCTATTCAGTGTTGTTTAGACCAGCGGTCCCCAATCTTTCCGGCTTGAGAAACCAGATGGGGGGAGGGGAGGGTTCTGTGCGAGCAGCAGTTGTGTACGCATGTGTACACATAGCTCCATTTGTGCAGGTGGTTGGCACGTGGGCCTGCCAGGTGCACAAATGGAGCGGTGTGCGCAAGCACGTGCGTGTGCTGCTCACGGAAGTGGAGCTGCATGTGCGTACTCACCTGCCACTAGCGTGGCCCGGTGTCAAAGCAAGAACATCCAATGTTAGAGGAGGGAATTGTGTTTGATACTATGTGCTAAGGGGAGGGGAATCCAGATTTTGGCTTCGCTTATGTATGTGCCGATGCTATGCTGCTCGAATAAAGATTCTTTAAGGTAAACAATGCCTCAAAGTTCTTTGAAGAGTTTCATCTGTCGGAACCAGGACACCCAGTTCTGAACGGCCCAGTATCGGGCTGCAGCCCGGAGTTTGGGGATTCCTGGTTTAGATTGCCCTTGAACGTGGATTTAGGACTCTTTCGGATTACCGCTAAACCTGTGTCCAGAAAGAGCTCAGCTACTTCCTGGCGGTCTTCAAACGTACCTCCAGGGTGCAGAACCAGAATGAGATTTGATAGATGGCAGGCCAAGACCTCATAAATTTGGAGAAGCTACGGGAATGTAATACTCACCATGCTTTATTTCATTCATGTCTGTCCGGTTCTTTCTGCCTTTGTCACTCATTCTGCCTTCTTTGTGGTTCTTGGCATCTGTGGTCAGAGTCTCTTTGAGGTGGTGACCTCTGAAGCCTCTTACCTCCGCTCGCTCGCCCTTCTGATCGAGCACTTCCTGGAGTCTCGGGAGCTGGCTGGCACCATCCTTCTGCGCGAGCACCGCATTCTTTTCTCCAACATACGCAAAGTCCAAGAAGTCAGCGAAAGGTCAGTTCTGTTCTCTTCCCGTCTTTCTTCCACTCTGCATTGCCCTGGAATATATTCTCAAGATTGAAGGTAGCCAATCACAGAATTCCTAATTTGCTGTTGGCCATCCTGAAGGACTTGATCTCCGCGTTCAGGAGGAATCACACTCTCCCAAGTGGTTCTCCTGATCGTGGGGGATCATCTGTGATGAACAGCAGGCTAGTCAATTATCCAACTGTACGACCATCTGTTTAATCGCTACCCCCGTCTAGAGAAAAACAAGCTTGCTGGTTTTTTTGCTCGTGCTTCTGTGAACGCTCCACATATCTCTGATGCCAGTTCTTCCACTTGACAGGTTCTTACGGGATCTGGAATGGCGGTTGGCTGAGAGCCTGCAGATCTCAGACGTTTGTGATATTGTGGAGGATCACGCTCAACAGAGCTTCTCGGTCTACATTGATTACGTCCGTAACCAGCTCTACCAGGAGAAGACCTATAGTAGCCTCATGTGAGTAAGTGAGGAGGAAAGGAAAACCAGTCTGCCCGCCCATCCTTGGGGAGAGTGAAGGATTCCAATGAGCGGAGGAATTATTTGGAGAAACCCCTTTGCCTGTGTTCCCAGCTAATGTTGACCTTGCTGAGAATTCTGGGAGTTGTAGTTTCCCCTCATTTGGCAGTCTGGTCACCATTTTGGTGTTCTGTACAAAAGGCTGGCTCAGATTCCAAAAGATATTAGTTCAGCCTGTCTTGTCCAACAGCAACGATTCAGGTACTCCTGAAGAGCTTGCGGGAGGTTGATCACGGCCATCCCTTGTAGTCTCCCACCTTTGAAGTGGGAATAGCATTAGTAATAGCAATAGCCTTTAGACTTATTTACCGCTTCATATGCTTTCCAGCCCTCTCTAAGCGGTTCACAGAATCAGCGTATTGCCCCCAACAATCTGGGTCCTTGTTTTATCAACCTCAGAAGGATGAGTCAACCTTGAGCTGGTCAGAATCGAACTCCTGGAGTGAGCAGTGAGTTAGCCTGCAGTACTGCATTCTAACCACTGCGTCACCACGGCTCTTACTGTTCTTCCTGTCATGGATGGTGGATAGGGATGTACCTGTGCATCGAAAAAGTCTTTGTTAAGTGTTTCTGTGTAGTCCAGCATCTACTTCTCAGAGGCTTCCAGGAAGCTCTCAGATTAAAGCAGGGATCACCAACCTTGCAACTTTAAGACCTGCGGACTTCAACTCCCAAAATTCCCCAGCCAGCATTCCCAATGAGGAATGAGTATTAGCGATGGCCTAGACCAGGGATAGGCAACCTTGGCTCTTTTATGACTCGTGGACTTCAACTCCCAGAATTCCTGAGCCACCATGGCTCAGCTTGGAAACTCTCCCTTTCCCCTCAGCATGGCTGGCTCAGGAATTCTGGGAGTTGAAGTCCACGAGTCGTAAAAGAGCCAAGGTTGCCTACCCCTGCCCAAATGCCTGAATTTTGATAACATGACCATGAGGAAAAATATTTAAATATTTTAAACCAGGGGTCTTCAAACTTGGCCCTTTTATGACTGGTGGACTTCAACTCCCAGAATTCCTGAGCCAGCATGGGGGAACTATGGCCCACTCATGACTCGTGGACTTCAACTCCCAGAATTCCTAAGCCAGCATGGCTCAGCTTGGAAACCTCTCCCTTTCCCCTCAGCATGGCTGGCTCAGGAATTCTGGGAGTTGAAGTCCACGAGTCATAAAAGAGCCAAGGTTGCCTACCCCTGGACTAGGACTAGGCCACTTTCTGACTCGTGGACTTCAACTCCCAGAATTCCTGAGCCAGCATGGCTCAGCTTGGAAACCTCTCCCTTTCCCCTCAGCATGGCTGGCTCAGGAATTCTGGGAGTTGAAGTCCACGAGTCATAAAAGAGCCAAGGTTGCCTACCCCTGGCCTAGAACCACTGCAGGGGAACAGCAAAGGGTGAGCAGATGCTTTGCCCCACCATGTTCCAGTTCAGGCCTGTTGCTCTTGGGTGCAGCTTCCCTTCCTCTTCCCTCTTAGGGAGAAGAACCCCCAGTTTGCCATCGTTGTGACCCGACTCCAGGAGCAGCCCCAGTGCCAACGCCTCCCCTTCATGTCTTTCTTGCTGCTTCCTTTCCAGAGGATCACTCGTATCAAGATGCTCTTGGAGGTGAGGAGCAGGGGTGGTCTTGGAGCCAAGGATTTGGGATGCTATAAAGCTAGAGTAGGGGGCTTCTGGGTGGAGGGAAGGCATTTCCTGGGGAGAGCAGGTCAGCAGGTTGGGAAAGCAAGTTCTAAGCCAAGGTTAGAACTTGCTTCTTTCCCTTTCCTTCCTTCCTTCCTTCCTTCCTTCCTTCCTTCCTTCCTTCCTTCCTTCCTTCCTTCCTTCCTTCCTTCCTTCCTTCCTTCCTTCCTTCCTTCCTTCCTTCCCTCCTTCCTCACTGTTTCTCTGTGTGTCTCTGTCTCTGTCTCTCTCTCTCTCTCTCTCTCTCTCTCCATATATATATTGCTATTTCTCTCTCTCCCCTTCTTCCTCCTCCTCCTGCTTCTTCTTCCTCCCTTTCTCTCCCTTTTTCTTTCTTTCTTTCTTTCTTTCTTCTTCATTCTTTATTTTTTCTTTCTTTTTTTCTTTTTTTCTTCTCTTTCTTTCTTTCTTTCTTTCTTTCTTTCTTTCTTTCTTTCTTTCTTTCTTTCTTTCTTTCTCCCTCTCACTGTCTCTCTCTGTCTTCGTCTCTGTCTGTCTGTCTCTGTCTCTCTCTATACATATAAATATATATTGCTATTTCTTTCTCCCGCCCTTCCTCCTCCTCCTGCTTCTTCCTCCCCCATTTTTTCTCCCTTTTTCTTTTTTCCTTCCTTCCTTCCTTCCTTCCTTCCTTCCTTCCTTCCTTCCTTCCTTCCTCCATCCCTTTCTCCCTCCCTCCCTCCCTCCCTCTTCTTTTGACCATCTCTTGATCCCCTCCATTTTATCCCTCCCTTTTCCTCGGCCTCTTCTGCCTTTTCTCCCACTTTCAGCATCTCTGTCCCTCCTCCCCCTTTCTCTTCTTCACATGGTTGGGAAGAGGAGAGGAACTATTGAAATCTTTTGCAAATTAATTGAAATTAAGCCACTGAGATACTCCTGGGTTTAATTTATCCTCTAAGTAAGGGGCAGCAATCAGGTTTAAATGGAGCAGCAGTGCTGTCTCTGCCTCTGGGTGCAAATGAGGATCCAGCTGCCAGGAATTTGAAGTGGGGGGTGGGGAACCTAATCCAATTGCTTTCATTATTTTTCAATTTCCTGGGGAGATGATTTCAGGCCCTCAATCAGGGAGTCCTTCCTGGGCAGAGAAGCCCAGAGAAGTAGTAACTGTGAGAGGGATCTCAGAGTCCTAGTGGACAATCACTTAAATATGAGCCAGCATATGCTGCAGCTGCCAAAAAGGCCAACACAGTGCTAGGCTGCATTAACAGAGGGATAGAATCAAGATCATGTGAAGTGTTAATACCACTTTACAATGCCTTGGTAAGGCCACACTTGGAACACTGCATCCAGTTTTGGTCACCGCGATGTAAAAAAGATGTTGAGACTCTAGAAAGAGTACAGAGAAGAGCAACAAAGATGATCAGGGGACTGGAGGCTAAAACATATAAGGAACGGTTGCTGGAATTGGGTATGTCCAGTTTAACGAAGAGAAGGACGAGGGGGGACAGGATAGCAGTCTTCCAGTATCTCAGGGGCTGCCACAAAGAAGGGGGAGTCAAGCTATTCTCCAAGGCGCCTGAAGGCAGGACAAGGAGCAACGGATGGAAACTAAACAAGGAGAGAAGGAACCTAGAACTAAGGAGAAACTTCCTGTCAGTTAGAACAATTAACCAGTGGAACAACCTGCCTCCAGAAGCGGTGAATGCTCCGACACTGGAAGTTTTTAAGAAGAGACTGGATAGCCATTTGTCCGAAATGGTATAGGGTTTCCTGCCTGAGCAGGGGGTTGGACTCGATGAC